TATTTGTAAGTAGAAAAAGATACACCTAACAATCTGAATATTCTCTGTAGAAAACATTTCTTACCAATAATACATAAATACCCAAGAAGCAGCGTGAGGCTGGCTACACGTATAAACCAAAAGCTACATATTGTTAACAGTATATATAATACAGCAACAAGTGTAATCTATTAAATCTGTATATACTATTAGGGAATGTATGCTTTATTCGAACAATATTTTTGCTACGAGAAATACTTACACTATTTAATATTTTTCTAATAGTATTAAGAATAGCGTAGCTTCCAAATTCTGCCATTACAGCACACTGGTAAACTCTGATGATGTCGAGGATGAGGCAACAGTCGAACGGTAGAATTTCTTTGGTGAAGTTATCTTTTTTCGGTATCCTGATCTTGTTTGGGAACGATTACTCGAATGAGGTAATATGACAGTTCGGTTCGGGTCCGTTCGGATCCGTTCCATGGTCAGCAGCCCTGGAGCTTATGCTGCTAGTATTAATTTTGCTTCTCAAAAAAGAGGAGGCGACAAGTTGTGATTAGTGCGTAACAATATATATATGTGTACCGTGCAGGTTTAAATGACCGCGAACAAAAATTTCTCTTATTTTTAGGATACCTATGGAAAACCGTGCGAGGAAGGCAATATGTACCATATATTAAATGTCAGATATGGCAGATTATTAATGAGTGAAACTAATGTAGAAACACTACTTCAGGAGAATAATACCCTGCTCGAGGAAAAGTTCATGGGATCAGTGAATACAAATGGCGAAACTTACCTGCAGGACCGTTCCGATGTAATAAAATATAATGATAGCTCTGACTCACGATCTAGGAAGAGTAGTCCCCGCGCCAGTTCAAGGAAGAAGTCGAAAAGTACAATGGATCGTTGTAACGTGGACAAATCCAACGAATCCTTAAATTTGAATAATTTTGATGAGGATCAAGGCAAGGAAAAGTTTGGTGGATCATCGATTTTTGGCAGCACGGAGAGTCTATTTGAAGAACGAGATGATGATGATTTAGGCCATGACAGAAAGGTTGGCGAATCTACTCATTTTGGCAGCATGGACAGTATATTCCCAGAAGCAGCCGATGATAATCATGTTAGCGATGACACAAAGATTGGTGCGTCCACGAATTTTGACAGCAGGGAGAGTCTTCCTAAGGAACGAAATGTGGAAGGTAATGATAAGCGTAAGAATAAGTCTGAGCATCAACCTAGAGATCGAACCGGCGTAAAGCCTGGAGTTGATCGTGAGGCACAACGTGGATGTCCACATGGAGTACGATCTGAAGATCCATATGCAGGCGACAGCGCAAGTGCGCACATAGAAGGAACCGAACAGAGTAAGCGAAGTAATTGGATGGCCCGAAAAGGATCTATCTTTTCACGTATTGCTAATTATATAAGAAAGATTGATTCCAAGTATCAGGCCATGGTGGTAGAAATAGTACGGGAAGAAATACACAAGAATCCTGATTTTAGTGGGAAGGCACCGGACTTCAACTATAGAAAAGAATTCAAGTTTCTGTCACCAGTTTTGGGAGCATATGTGTTTTCCGTGTTTACGCTTATATGTCTGAACGAGTATGTTTTTTTTCCTGTATATATAATATCACTTGTCGCATCAATAATATACGTTAGACGCAGATACAAAAAAGCGCTGCAGCTTGTAAAGTACGAACAAAGTAGAAGCAGAATGGTGCGCACAAAGTCAACGCAATGTGATACCGAAAAAATAGAGTAGCAGTGATACCTGAGGGCGATGACAATGTTGTACCGCAGGGGTAGCGAACGAGAATATTAAGGAAGTATAGGAGAGATCTACAGCGGGAGAATGAGACGGAAGGACACCTATATATGGTAAAGGGAAGTATTACCTCGGAATAGGCAGCAAAATGACGCTGCAGTAGGAGCAATTGTTAATAATATATGGAAGGATAATGTTCATAGGCCTTTGCATGGCAATCATGAAATTGCATCAACCATAGAGTTAGTTGTCCTGTACGGCACCCATGCATGTATAAGCTGTGGGTGTAGTGTATGTTGTACATGCTTTCTACATTTCTCTTTGTTCTTCTTTTTTTTCCTTTTTTTTTGTTTTCTAATACGTTGTATTAAGTACAGAACAATTTTAACATATGTACACCTCCATCCTTTTTTTTTTTCTGTCTTATCCGTTGTTATTTTCGTATTTTTCCTTTTTGTATTAAATTCACTACATTGCAACAATGCACCACATCACGTAGGTTCAATGGTGAGGGATTAGGCACTGTAGATATGATGTTCCTGCGATGCACTGATTGTGTCCGCGTTAGGTTCAACAATGAACGGGGTACACTGCAATGATATGTTCTTGTACGAGGCGCTATCAACAGCGTAGGAAGACTATGGAATGTTTGTATCATAGGAGTGCATGTTATACCTTTACTCCATTATTATAGAATGTAGAGGTTTTTTCTCACTTTGTGCGTAATATTCTTTAATACGAATATGGTTGTAAAATTGTGTTTTTCCAGAATGCATATGCCAGACTTGTACAATGATTTATATTGTAGGATGTTATTTTATGCAAAAGGATTACCGTAAGTGCGCGGACACAGGTGGGAGTCATGTGTATGCTGCATAATATACGCTGCGTATAAACTGTTAGTCCCCAATGTACCGCGGGAGTTCCCTGTAAGCATGATTCCCCTGTTGTGACATATAGAGTACGGTTGTGTGTGCTTCCACTTGCTCGCTGATGCATGTTATGGCGGATCGGTGGGAATAAAGTTAGGTTTCTGTTTTCGTGTGCGTGCTCGAATGTCCTTTCTTCCGCCACATACCGTGCTGTCTGCAGTGCTTTGTTCGTTCCTGTGTTTCCCTTCATCTTGCTGTGTATATTTATTGACCATTCCCACACTCGTCAAGACTCGTGGTCGCCGCTGCGCGGCACGTTCCACGCTCCCGTCGTGGCTGCACACGTCAGCTTCACGAGGGGGTGCTGCTGTTCCGCCGCGTGCGTGCTGTTGTGGCGGCGGTGCCATGCATTTTGGGCCTTATCGGTAGCGGTAGTGGGCGTACCGGCCGTGTATTAATGTTATACCGTATCGGTACGGTCCGTATATTCGTATTCGTACTGGTACGAGTAGTATCCTTACCCTTTGCAATTTCCTGGTCTATTTTGTCCTTTACTTTCTCAATTACCTGCTGGGTTTCTTCTACCACTTTTTTCTCTATTTGTTTCACTTCAGGTATTTTTGCCTCCTCTATAACCTTGTTGTCAGTACCGCCCATTTGCTCTTTATACTTTTTCCAATCCTTTTCACAGGGCATCTGTTGCTCTATGTGTGCTATTTCTGTCATTATTCCTTGGTCTACTAACCACTGTGCGATGTCCCCATTTATTATTCCTCTTTGCGTCCAACTGCCTTTGTACCCACACAGCGTACATCTTCCGTCCATAACAGGACCCAGGAGCGTTTGTCCCCCATATTTGTTTGAGCCGATATGTGTCATTACGTTCCAAGCATACTCCACACCTCTATTCCATGTTTGCTTACGTGTACAGTACCTTTCTCTCAGTAGAGATCCAAAAGTGTTTGCTAGTTCACACCTTAGCCTTTCGTTCATTGTCTGTTCCTGTGTGTTTGGTTGCGCGGTCTCCTCGTCTGTGTTGTTCCCCCCTGCATCCCAACCGTTTGCATAATACAATGCAAGAGTCACGTATCTACATCTCATCATGTCACCCACCGTCTGGCCCCTATGGTATATCCCTTGTGTGAAATCATCCCAATGAGTATTATTACAATTTGCACCAAGTGCCTCTATGTGCTCGTGGCTATGTGTCATATGTTGCACAAGACTGTTTAATACCTTGTCCACTTTACTCTTCATTGCGCTCTGCATGTTGTATATTAACGCAGGAATAAATGTCTCTGCATATATTCTACCTATACTTGTGCTCTTTCATGCGTCCATATTCTTACATATGCATATACATGAACTATAAATTATACTCTCTATCATTATCCCCCTGCTGCACCTATCCTCTTACTGTAACTTACATCATAACCTTGCACCACATACAATGCATGCTGCCTGTTCTGTAATACGCTCTTCCAAGCACACTATTCTCCTGTGGCCTTCGTCGTCCCCGTGCCCCCATACCCTCGTGAACCATGCCGCCGTCCGTCTCCTGCCCCACTGCCCTGCCCCGCCGTGCCCCAGGTCGATGTCAACCGTGTGGCCAACCAACAACGACAACCATCTATCAACCTGACAAACTTTAGATTCATCATACTGCACTTTTTCCCCTTTCCTTTGAAATTATAGGTAGCAGTCCAACGCAGGACCCCAAAACAACGGAGTCCAAGGAAACAACAGCAGTACAGTCGCCACAGGGGGAACCAGGAACAGCAGCACTTCCACCAGGACCATTGTCACCGGATCCTATATCCACGTCCACACAGACACCTTCTACAGAGCAAACAGGGGCATCGGGTGCAGCTGGACCACAGGGTCCCTCTGGTCCGCCAGGTGCAAAAGGTGAAGAAGGTAAACCTGCGGATGGTGTGGTGGATGCCGGCAACGATGACCCTCCTCCTCTCAATCCACCCAAACCAAAACCAGAAACCACGAACCCCCATCAGGCACGTAGTAGTGTCGGCTCAGGGAGCCCCGGCGGCGTCCAAGACCCAGGTAGTACCGCAGGGAGTTCTGAGAACGGCGGGGGCGGTCTACCAGATGGTGCTGGTGGTGGAGGAGGAGGTGCAAGTTCCTCATCCTCTCCTTCAGAACCCTCCAGTTCCGCTCAAGGAACAGAAATAACAACCACAACAACAATAACGCAGACACCATCATCAGAAACCTTATCACCAACATCACCACAATCACCAGTGCAGCCATCACCCCCCAAGGCGGGGGATGATGCTGTAGCTCACTTTGTTCCCCCTCCATCGAAACCATGCGACCCCAAGGATCTCATCCCGTACACACCCGCGATCATTCCAGCGGTGGTTGGTATTGGGGTTATTGCGTTCTTCCTATGGAAAGTAAGTGCACACACAAGCTCACACACAACACACAACGCAACGCGCACACACACAACGCACATGCGACGGGAATCGGCTGCAACATTCCTCATTCCCTCCGTCCCCCTGCCTTCATGTTCCCCCCAACACGCACAAATATAACCGAGTGGAAAATGGAACAACCGTTGCCATTTGCCATTCCCCCTATTGTTCGCCATTGTTCCGCACCATGTTTCCCCCGCCGCCCGAACAAAAGGACGGGTATTCTACACAGCAACTGCACACTATTTGGACGTTACAATTTAACGATAAAAATAAAAACAGAACAACAACAACACAAAAAAAACTCTAAATCCGAAACCCTTTAAGTTCCCTGCACTACCGAACGCGGATACATAAACGGTGAACCTTGAATTCGGAATGCTAAACATCGCAACCATGACACCATAAGGCCTAAACACTAAACCTCCTAAATTTCTTAAACCCCATAAACTTCGAAACTGTGACTCGCGAATATTGAACTCCGTTAATCCTGCATCCTGATGCATACACCTCACAATACTGAAACTTGACGCCTTAAATCATTAATTCCACTGAAACAATAGTGAAACCAAGAACAAGTACAAACATGATACAATTAATAGGTATACATGGCCCAAAATACTCTTTTCCTATTAGGGATACATATATTTATTAGATATTTTTCATGCTCAATGCAAAAGAAATAATTTATAGCGTATGTTCTGTTGTTTCTACTAATATACTACGGTGCAACTATTTTTGTTTGTTTTGTTTTTTTTAATTAACACACAACGTATATAAATTCCCTTACTCATATATATTATTCCGGTTCCTATAATAAAAAAAATTCACCCAACTATTTCTCCCCGGTCACTCACTTTTTTCCGGCAAGACTTTTCTTTTATTCTGTGTCGGTCTTATTATTACTGCTTATCTACATTAACTAAAAATTGCGAGTACAACTGCTTGTTCCTTTTCACTCCATAATAAAAATTTCCATGTGAACAACAATGACATCACATGCAAAATAGGAAGTAGCATATATTATATTATTATTCACATCCATTTAAGTATTGTAAATTCTCTCTGCTTCTTCTTGTTGTTCAATTTTCCAGTAACCTTCCTAAGAATTCAGTTCCTAGGAACTATGCTATAATTTATATATATTTATATTTTTCAAAAAAAAAAGGGAATCTTCCCTTGTTCTAATGTTTTAAAAGTAAGGCACCTTTTTTCAGAATTCTACTATTATGTAGGAATGCAAAATAAAAATTAGAACTACGCAAAACAGCATGCTTAAAAAAAAAAGAATGCACATATATATATAAATTATGCCTCATCATATTTAATACTTTCTCTTTTGTAGAAACTGTAATTTCTATATAAGAATGGCACATGTATGTCCTTATTACACATCATAAAGGGTATTATACTTAGTGAACCAAGAGAGCAGTGCTGCCTGCTTTACTCTTCTCTTTTATATAATGACCCACAGAAAGATGTCACACGTGAACGAAGAAACAACATCGACAAGCAACGTTGCACAAGGAGCGTCGCCGTCCCGAACGGACACAGCACATTCCGCAGGTAATGAAGGTGAAACACATGACAAAAGGGCGCATATGCCCTCCTTCACCAAAAAATTTGCTATGCTCTTTATTGTTGCTTGGTGTATCATTTTAAAGGTGAGCACAGCGCAAAAGAAAGATTATATGATCACATATAGATGTAGGCTGGAAAGTTTTACGACTGCTTATATATATACCGTACCCACCATACGCAGCGCACGATATATACATAATACTTATACGTACATCCATTGCTTCCTTGCCTTCTTCCCTTTTTTTTGTTTTACGTATTACCATTCTTTTACTAATTCATATGATCACTACCATTCCTCCTCTCTTTCTGTCCTGTACAGCATCAAGATGACTGCGAAAGACAAGAAGAGTACGTGGCCAAAGTGCAAGTATATAACAGAGCTGCTAGAAAGTTAGCCATGACAATTGAAGAAGGAACTCCATCAGACGAGCAACTTGAATTAGGCGAGATGGACTTGAAAAAGTATGAGTATGCGGAACAAACCTATGAAGGAGCCTACGACGATGTCGAAGAACCTTATGAAGAAACCTACGAAGATATTGAACAAACATATGAAGGAGCCTACGA